TTTTGTTATCTTCCCAATTTTTTTTTAATTTCTAGACAAAAATATATGTCAGGAAAGGTCGGTAGTGGGATTAGTTGAGGTCTGATTAATATCTTATCTAACCAGACTAAATCCTGTTTGTTAGCCTAACTTGGCTTGGCAGGGCTCATGGTCATGGGTCCAACACATGGCTGAACCACTGAAGCTTATCAGATATCATTATCAGGTCAATTACTCACATTTGGCTGTCACCACACCAACCGTAAATCAAAATCTTATCTGAAACAAAGGAGAGAGCCTTGTGTCCCGAAGGGTTTTGAAGCGACTGTCCAACAAAAAGGGTGCTGGGCCACTGGGTCCTGTTTGGGGGGGTGGGGTGGGTTGGGGACCCTCCAGAGCTTGTCTTAGGCCATAAAGACCGCTGCGCTAAGTTGTTTGTCCCTGATTTAAGAGCCATCAGACCCCAATGTTGGGTCCCGACTTAATTGTCGACCAGCTGTGAACGCATGTCACTATCCTCTCTCAGTCCTACTTTGAGCCCTTTCTACACTTTTTTAATATGCAACAAAAATATCTTTGCTTTCGCTTCTTGCTTGCTTTGCTCAATGCCTTTCTTTTACCCTTTTGTTTTAAAGAGAAGAAGGCAAGGAATTTGTTCCATTAATGAACCATAGCAATTTCTAAAGCAAGCTCTTATCACATACAACACATGGTATGCTTGGATTAGCTTGAGAACAATTGCAAAGTTTTCTTTGTCATTAAAACTATTGCTCTTTAGGGTCACATCATCTGCCTAAAACAAAGTTCTGATTGAGATTAATCAGAATGAAAGTCTAGGGAGTGATCATAGAGTTTGTACCCTTAAATGTTTTGGAATTGAAGCATGTTGTATGGCAATAACCAAACTTTAACCCTAAATAAATATTTTGTCAAAAAAAAATTGGAGCTCCATGCTACTGAATGAGTATTTATGGTAGTCTATTGTTACTTTAATACAATGACAATACCACTTAACCTACAAAAGGTGTTTAAAAAGAGATTCATAAACTATTATCACATCAAGTTTTTGTGCACACAAACTACAACTGTTATATTAATAAATTTTCGTTTTTATTCAATAATGGGTAATCTTCTCTTATCCTAAATTAAGTTTTTAGTACAATTATAATTAGCAAACACTAAGCACTTTGTTTTTTTAATTTTCCATATCTAGGAAAGTTGGCTAGGATTTTAGTAAAATCAGCAAACCACTACATATAAGCACTTTGTTTAGATTTACTCCCTAATGACACAAGAAGTTAAAATATTTCAGTTCTATGTTTTCTACTGTTCAACACAGATGGAAAAAGTGAAGTGACAAAAGCTTGTTATAAAGCTCTTGCTGCTATCAGGGATGGGGGAATGGCAAAATCCCACTATTATTTTACCCATCTGAATGTCTGATCAGGCTTAGGTTGGCTGCACCAAGCCATCAGATAAACAATTGTCAGTCCATAGAAAACCAGGCTGCAATACTCTCTGTAATATTCAGTCTGTACAAGTATCATAGCCATTGCTTTCCTCAAGTCTTCCGTTTCTTTCCCTTCAATAAGTTTCCCCAAGCGTCCTCTCACACTCTAGATATTGCCCAACAGTTACTCTTATGTAACAAGTTTTGTTCTTCCCCCATGAAAGCTGCTAGATGTGCTGATTAGTACCTAAAACCAGACTATTTACTGTGTTTTGGTCTTAGTATTGAACTGGTGGGTTCAACCTAGGCTTTAGGTGTACTGAAAGAAAATCAATCACAGTGGGAATCTTGGACTTTTTTAGTACTTATATACAGCCTTTTTTTTTCTTTTTCTTCTTTGATGTAGTTGTTTAGGTGATTACTCCACCTTCTTGCTTGCAAGTTTTACTTTATGATGTTTTAGTTTATAAAATTATACTTAAATCTCACTACCTGCCTGGAAAATCTATTGAGGTCAGATGGTAAAACTGAAGTTCTTAACAGAAAAAAATGTAGAACCCTCCATTATTAAGTAAATTTACAGTTCGAATGATTGGAAAGCACTGTAATCATGAAGAAAGCTCTCAAATTGGCCTATTTGATTATGGTAATCATGAGATTTGCTGATAAAACTAACTCATCCCCATCTTTTCAATATAGAAATACACCAAAATATCTATATGCATTGTGTGTGTGAAGATCAAAAGAATAAAGTAGAACTCGAATGATTCTTCCTTTTGAAAACCAAAGCCATTCTTCTAGTGCATATATGATCCAAAAGCAACAGTAATCATATTACCCCAAAGTTATAAAACCAAAACTTATGAATATCCCACTTTGATACAATCATAATAATCAATGGGATTTTGATCTCATCCATCCCTTACCAAAGAGATATGCCCAAACCTCGCTTTCAAGCAAGGTTTTCACACACACTTTGTTGTAGCTTCATGACATATAGAGGAGATATGCACAATTCACAAGTAAGGTTGAAGCAATTTTTATGACCATTTTTTCTAATAAAAAAAGAAAGTTGATTAGTCAAAAGATTTATCCCAAAAAGCATTTTGTAAGGGGGTTTAGAGAGAGAGATATATATATATATATATATATATATTTATTTATTCATTTATTTTAGGTCATGTACCCTATGGTGGGGGGTCTTTTTTGTCACCATTCAAACATCTTTTACAGAGAAAAGGATACTGGAGGGAAGGGGTTAGGCTTTTAAGGTGGACAAACAATTATTTTGGTTGCTAAAGAAGGGTCCAAATTCAGAAGAAAATCATTGTTAGAACAACTTTTAATTGCTCTAGTTCTTGGCCCTAGTGCTTGTCTGTATCTATGAACAACTTTGATTTAAGTTTCAGATTCTTTTACTCATCCCTTGACCCAAATATATATTAGTTTTTCTTATCAAAGTTCATTAATTTGTTATTTATTTTTACACATTTCCCTATAATTTTCCCCTTTTTTTTCCCCAGATAGTCAAACCAGCAAAGAATCACTGTAAATTGTAAAAAAAAAAAAAAAAACCCTGCAGCATTTGCTCTGATATTGGTCTTTTGCCTAAGACTTCTGATTTGGTCCCTTGGTGCCTTTCCCTAATGCTGACAATTTTTATATAATTTTTCCTTGAGAAATTTTAACTGTTAATTTCTTATTAAACTTATTTTAAAAAAAACCCATTTTTAATAAATTAATTAAATTTATAACAGTAAAAAAAACCATTATCATATTTAATATCAATTAATATTTACTATTCACTTGATACATGACCTAAGTTTGACAGTGATTTTTAATCTACAGAATTATAATAATTAACCCACACCATACATGCATGCATTTAGTTAATTACACCGACTTCTACAGTAATAAAAAATTATTGCTTTTGATGGAAAAAAACGTTTAAACCATATATTATAAATCTAAATCTAATAATTAGAATGCAAAGGTCATCTGTCAAATCAAGTCGAATGTCTAGTTGTATTCATCCTTTCATATCCTTTGGGGCAATGTTTTTATTTCATAAAACTTGCACGACTTATATTAATAATAAGTAATGATGTTAAGAGAGAGAGAAAAGAAAAAGAATTATCTTATGTAATGAACTAATAATTATGTTCTATACTTTTCTTCTCACCTTTTGCTATCACATGAGGTAAAATTTAGACTTAATATAACCAAAAAAATCTATGAATTAAAATGAAAAATTAATTGCCAATAATCAATATTTTTTTTGTGTGACATATAACACGGTTGATGCTTTTAATCACAATAATTATTACATAATTACGTCAATTGTCATGTTAATTTACTTAAATGATATGTCACGTAGATATAAAATATATATCAATTGTTATTAGATTTGATTAATATTTTATAAAAATTAAGGGTTTGTTATGATATAAAATAAGATTTAAAATTCGTTTGAGTATAATAAAAAGTGAGATAATTAATTCAAAAAACCGACCATTGTACGAGAGTTATTTATATTATTATAGCTAATTTAATAAATTAATGTTAGTATAGTTACAGACTCATTGACCTTAATAAATTTAATTAATAAAAATTTAAAAGAAAATGTTAATATGTAAGGAGGGTGGTAATTCTATAATGGTTAAGTCAATTTTTACTCCACCTTAAAACTCCCACTCATAAAAGAGCTCATTTATATTTAATTTCACCCACTACAACCAAAAAAAAAAGTTAATTATTTAATATGAAAAATCATTGAAAAATTAAATAAAAAAAATGCAAGTGCATAAATTATAAGTCAAACTAATCTACATGAGCTTATTGGGGGAAGCACAAATAGATATGTGAATATTTAATTTAGATGATGGGGTTTTTGGCATTTAGGATAAGTGCTAAAAAGTACTGTCACATCCTGTTCATTCTTTTGTATCCATTTATTTAGAGCCATTGATGTTAAGGAAACAGAGAGTTGAATGAAGGGAGTGACATGCAGCACTGCATTTGTTTTATTTTTTGTGATAATGAAATTAATCAATTTTTTTTTAATTCCCTTAATGTTTTATTTTTTGTTAGATTAATCCATCTTATTGTTCCAAACTCGAATATAAAATATTCATATTTTATTTAATCGGGTCGAATACTACTTGTAAATGTTCGACAACGATGGTACCGTTTTATCTACTTAATTTCATTTTCCTAATTTTCTTTTAAAGGTTTTTATTTTTTTGCTTTGCATGTTCTAAGATTCAAAGTCCAAACTATTTAACTAGTAGCAAACTTTAATTTAAGTTTCAAAAAAAGAATCAAATGTTATTATTGTCCATTGAAACATCTACTTACAAATTCAATATTAGATATGCACACTAACAAGCATGTGCAATTATGTTCCCCTCATAAATCCACTTGTCTAAGTCCAACAACAGGTCAGAAAGACCTGCAGCAATGCTAAAATGAGGGACCATGGGGTGTGTGGAAACACCAGCTTGGTCCCATGCCCACCTTCAAATTTCCCACCCAAGTGTTCCATTGTGCCAACAGTCATCATAATACTAAATTAATCTCTTGATTTAACAAGTTTCGTTTCAGGAATGTGGCTGTAAATCACTTGGGGGAAGCTTCAGACAGTATAAAGCACAGTGATTCAGCTTAGGTTACACTAGCAGGGTGAAGTTTAGGAGATCCCTCCTTTCCCTCCCAGGCCCAGCTGTTTTCACATTTCTTTATTTAAATCTTCATGATACCTTACCCCTTGCGCAGCTGCCTGCTCTCTTTCTCTTTCTCTTTCTTCTCTAAAGGAAAAAAGGAGATTTACAAAGCTAAAAGAGAAGTGTTTTAATGCCCAACAACCGCCTTTAACCCTTCTCTTTCTTATATCTTGTAGCAGAGGTTTCCTTTTGCCTGTTCACAACTAGAAGGAAAAGTTCCAGCTTCTCTCTCTTCTCTCTCTCGCTGTTGCTGGCTTTCACAGTTCAGTTTCTTAGATCTTTTCAATCTTCAACCTTCTTCTCTTGCTTTAAGGATGAATAAACAAGAAGTCATGAAGATGCAGGTGACTTAACTAGTTTTACTTTTAGCTCTTTGTTCAATAGTTGATATAACCCTTTTCTGTTTCGGTTTGTTCTAACAATGTTTCTGGTTGTTTTGGGGGGTTGCTTGTCTCTTTTCAGACATGGGTTCTCAAAGTGAATATACAGTGTAGTTGTGATGGCTGTAAGCAGAAAATAAAGAAACTATTACAGAAAATTGATGGTATGTTGATTACATGATTATTTAGTCCATTTATGTTTAATTTTCTTTTTTTTTCATTTTTTTTAGTTTGGTACTTTAGATTTGTTGATTTTGCTTTGGTTCATTTTGTTTTTCGGTCAGGGGTGTATTCTACTAGTATTAATGCAGAGCAAGGGAAGGTAACAGTGGCAGGAAATGTTGATCCTGCTATACTTATCAGGAAGCTTGAGAAGTCAGGGAAACATGCACAGCTATGGGGGGCTCAAAAGGGTTCAAACAATTTCCCAAACCAACTCACCAACCAGTTCAAGAACTTGCATCTGGACGGTGGCAAAGGTGGGAAGGACAACAAATCTCAAAAGGGTGGTGGGAATAACCAGCAAAAAGGTGGGCAGCAGCTTATGCAACAAATGAAAGGGTCTAAAGACCAGAAATCTGTCAAGTTCCACTTGCCTGAGGATGATTTAGATTATTCTGATGATGATTATGATGAGTTTGGTGATGAGTTCGATGATGAATTTGATGATGAGTTTGATGATGATGAGGAGGAATTCGGCCATGGCCATGGCCATCATATGCAAAACAAGATGGTACCTTTGATGGAAAGGGCCATGGGCCATACGGACCCAATGGCATGATAAATGGTACAGTCATGAATGGTAAAAAGGTGGTGGGGTGGGGATAATGGCAAGAAAGGAGGAGTCATTGATCTACCTATAGGAATTAAAGGCATGGGGGAAAACAAAGACGGGAAGCATGGTAATGGAGGAAAGAAAGGAGGTGAAAGAACAAAGGAGGGAAGCAGGGCAAAGGGGGAGGAGATAAAAATGGTGTAAAAAGGGGGGTGGGGGTTTACTAGGGATTTTCAAGAAGGATAAAAGTGGAAAAGATTGGAGTCATAAGAAGGGTAAAAATGAATGGGATGGTAAAAATAAAGGTCCCCATAATGGCAATGGAGGTCATGTGGTGGAAACAATAATGGCACTGGGGCTAAGAAGGGTGGGGGCAAAAATGGTGGTGGGGCCATGAGATGAACAAAATTAAAAATGGTGGGTTTCATGACATTGATGTCATCAATCATGGCAAAGCAGGCGGTGGGTGGTGGAGGTGGAGGTGGCGGCGGCGGCACTAAAAATATGGGGCAGATGGGCCAAATGGGTGGTCAGATGGGTCAGATGGGTTACAACAATATGGGTCAGATGGGTTATAATATGAGTCAAATGGGTCACATGGGCCAAATAGGTACTATCCAATGAGCCAGATGGGTAATTTTGCTGCAGTGCAAGGACTTCCCGCAGCTGCAGCAATGAATGCTGGTGGGTACTATCAAGGGATGGGCCCAGGAAATCCTTACAATCAACATACCTGGCCATGATGATGAACCAAACAGCGTGCAAATGGGAATGGAGTATGCACCGATGATGTATGCACAACAGTATCCCTATGCAAACTATGGGCCACCTCCAATGCATGCTGCAAATTCTGAATCTTATGCTCATTTCTTTAGTGATGAGAACACAAACAGCTGCAGTATCATGTAAAATTTTCCTCCTAGATTAGTGATGTTTTTCCATTTTCTCCTTGGTTATTGCTTCTCTAGGTTGCTTTATACAAGCTTGCAAGGTTCATGAAGACATTGGCTTATGTTTCTTGCCAAGAGGAAATTTTTCTTCCTGTATAATCAAATCCTTCAAAACTCTTCTTTCTCTCTCTTTTTGGGTTCTTATGTATTGGCCAATTGAGTGGTAAGATTACTATGTAAAAGGAAATGTAGGTAAAGTTTGAGGGATCTAGGATGAATGGTCAGAAAAGAAAGGGTTGAGGTATAGTTCAGTTGCTTTCTCAAAAGATGTACCAAATGTAATTTTATATGGTGTTGGTTTCAAAAATGGAAAACATGTTGGGCATCAATCCCCATCTAATCTTAGAACAAAGGGTCCATTTGGCTTCAGCTTTTGACTACTAAATTTATTTCCATGATTTACAATCTTCAATTATTAGTTTTGAAGAAATTCCGGGGGCGGGGGGAGGCTCCACACTTTTTGAGTTTGACAGTCATTGTTGCTTATTGCTTAGTTCCACCTCAATGGCTAGAACCATTTGGCCATGACTCCATGAACCATGGCCCATCTGCCCCTACTTAGCCTGCTGTGATGTGGAACCCAGAGAGTGGACTTGGACTGCATCCTCGGTTTAGGACTGTGCATAGATTGATAAACTTGAGCCCAATTTTGAGACTAAATCACTTCAAACTTCTGTAATAGAGCAAATGGATTGGTAGGAAAAAATAACTGATTCCGGGCTAAGCCTAGTCCTTCAAGCCCTGTATGATGGAATCCATGCTCAACTGCTTCCTGGCTGATGAAGCTCTTGCCAATTGCCGAGTGCAGCTCACACTAACCAATTCATTTTTGTTCCCTTGTTCTGATGTTCATCTTTAGCCTGACTTTGCCAAAATAGCATGTGAACCTGCCTCTCGCAGTCTCACTTTCAGCCTGCCAAATTGCAAGTAACGCCTAAACTTTCACATGAACAATTCCAAGACACAAAAAATTGTTCTATGATTGCCTATAAATAGCTCAATTTGCCCTTTATTTTCTCCACTGCTTAACCTTTTCCTTCTTCCAACTCATGGCTTCTTCTTCCCTTTATGTTCTTCTCATCTTCCTTTCCTTCTCTGCTTTCATCCTTATATCATAATCTAAAAAAACTTCCAAGTCAAACAGGTTTGTTTTACCAGTGCACCAAGATAAAAAGACCAATCTTTATGTTGTTGACATTTACAAGAGAACTTCTCCGTTGCAAGTCCCATTTGTTGTGGACTTGAATGGAAGGGTGCTATGGGTTACTTGTGACCAAAACTACCTTTCATCCACCTACCGTGCCCCTCGATGCCACTCAACTCAATGTGCTAGAGCCAGCACTCAATACTGCCACACCTGCTCCTCCAAGGCTAGTCCAGGGTGCCACAAAAACACGTGCGCTCATGTCAGTGAACCCTGTGACAGGCCTAACTGCCATGAGTGAGCTTGCACAAGACGTGCCATCAATTCAATCCTAGCCACAGTACCACGCAAAGTGTATGCATTTTCTATTTTAAAGCGTTGAGACTTTCTTTTCCATCAACCTGCAGGGGGTTTCTGTTTTTTTTAAATCAGATTTGATACAATATCAGAATATACAGAATTAAGCGAAAGTTTAAAGTTAAGATTATCATATTTCATCCATATTTTAATCACATCAACACTCAATCAGTTTTTCAATTAAGCTTAATTCATCGAATGAAAAATTTAAATTAAAGTAATCACGTTTTGAGAATTCAAAATTTTAAAAATTTAAAATGCTTTATTTTATTCATCGAGAGATGAAAACAAAACATAAACAAAACATAGATTCTTAAAAAGCAAACTCCAGTCCTTCATCACTGGTCCCTAATTCACTAGGACATTTTATCTAATTGAAAAACCTTTATATAAAATCCTAAATAGAAAGAAAAAAAACCAGGAAAAGAAAGGAACTGAACTCCTAAACTCTTAGCAGGTGATTGCCAATGGTGGAATCTGATCTAAGCTGGTGGTGCTGGTGCACCCCCGTTACCAGAACAGTACAGCTTCACCAAAGGATCGAGTATTGCACTGTTGATGGGACCGACACTTAAACCGGCGCATTCACTCTGGATTGCCTTAAGGGCACCGCAACAGTCTGCTCCGATGGGGGGTTTCAGGCAGCTTCCTACTGAATTGAAGGAATCAAAGCACTTGGCAATTTTGGGGTCCTGGGCTGGGCCTCCTGGGGGCCACTTCCCATGGGAAGGCACAGGTGGGAATGCTGGCCATGTCTTGCGACCCCAAGGGCGCCAAAAGGTGGCGACGTGTGCAGACGACGACTGCTCATCTTCAGCAGCAGTAGCAGCCAGTCCTTGGGTGAACAACGTGGCTGAGCAAGCCAGGGCAAGCAGCAGGGCTACCAATGATCTCTTCACCATGGCTAAAACTTGAAAGCTTTTCCTGGAAATGCAAACAATGCTGAGAAGTGACTTATCCGATGCATGATTGTGAAGCTTGGTGGGGTTTTTATAGGAGAGAAAACAAAATTCAAAACGTTTTCAAATGGTAATCTGATTATCCCAAAGTGGGGATAAGAACATTATCAATTAATTATTCAAATAAAAAAAAAAGAAAATTTTGATAACCTTAGCAACGGTTTCATGTCAAGAATGGAAGAACCCAGAATTCCCGCCACCAACTTTTTTTAAAAAAGATTTTTTGGATTTTTTTCCTAACATTTCAAGTATTTTGTAATTTGATAATAATTTATCTTTAATTCTTTATCTATAATTTAAAAATTGGTAGATTTCACCATCATCAATTTAAATTTAATTTAAAATTGATAGATTAAAATTTGACTACATTCATTGCTTCACATTTAAAAATAAAAAATCAAATGTAGTCTTGTAACCGGAGATTATTGACTTTAAAAATATTTTTTTGATTTCGAGAAAAGAGATTTGAGCTTAATCAGAGATATATACACTTATCATTCAATCAAATATAACAATAATGAAAGAATATTAATTTTCAAAATATCAACTTTTTATTTGATAAAAAAGATATTGAAATTTGCTCTTAAATATTTCATCAACTAAACTTTATATTAAGGTCAACTTTGGAGGTTCTTAGTAAGGGAAACATTAGGGATGGTGATGGGTAAAATGTAAAAGGAAATTAGATACTATTCAACCTATTTAAATAGGGTACGTATCTTGAAAACGAGCTTGGGTAGGATAATTGTCGGAATATTTATTATTTAAATTTGATTATAGAAAAAATTTTTAATATTTATTTTATTTTTTATATAAAAATTTTAGTATATGAATTGTGTATAATTAGTAAATTATTTGTTTTAATTTATAAATTGCTTAAATATACAATTTACTTTGAGTTAATTAATTTAATTTTGACTAATGAAATACTTAAAATGATCAAATTTCATTTTTTGTTATTGATTTCGAGTCAGGTCGAGTTTTGTTCGATCCAATCCCTAAGGACATTGAGCCCAATCCAAAGAAAATTGGGTCAAAAGGGATTCAATGATTTGGGCTTAGTTGATAAAGTATCCTTCAGGAGTTCATTGAAAGCCCAAATGAGGTTCTTGTGGGCTACTTCGTGGTCCTGCCGATCACCCATCTTTCTCAGCAGCCAAACAGGGCGTAGCTGTCCTTCACCGTGATTGTAACGCGCCCATAAAAACACTCACACGATCAAATTTCCCGGAAAAAATAAGAAAAAAGAAGAAGAAAGAGAGAAGTAATCTTCATTTCAATCAAAATTTTCTCGTTTGCGAAATCGCTGAAGAAAAATCAAAGGTACCAAAGCCTAACTCTGTGTTTCACAATTTTGCTTTTTTCTTTTTGTTCTCGTTTGGTTACTGAGAAATGCAGGAAAATACAAAAGAATTTGATAAAATATTGAGTTTTAGTTGTTTCAATTGATCTATGTTTACTTAATCTCACTTAATATAGCTAAATTTCTCTGCTTTAAACTCTTATGTGGCAGATACCTTAAGTTTAACTATTATTTATGCCTTTTTCTCTTTCCAATTTTTCCTTTAGTTCTCTTTGTGGAAACATAAAATTATTAGCTTCTTTTTTGGGTTATAGTATTCAATTTTTGTTGCAATTCTGGCTTGGATTTTTTTATATATTATATATTCTTTTTTGATTAATGGCTGCTTGAATTTTATGAGCTTGTAACTTAAATTTCAAAATTTTCTTTTTTTTTAAATGCAATAATTTGGAATTAAGTAATTAATGAAATTTTCTGTATTATTAGGGGAAAGAATGGGAAGCAATGCACCTACGAGCAATGATAGAACGAGAACAAATTGGACACCAACAATGGAAAGATATTTTATTGATCTTATGTTAGATCAAATGCATAGGGGTAATAGATTAGGTCATACATTTAACAAACAAGCTTGGACTGATATGTTGACCATATTCAATGCAAAGTTTGGGTGTAAATATGATAGGGATACTTTGAAAAGTCATTATACCAATTTGTGGAAGCAGTATAATGATGTGAAAAACCTTCTCGAACAAAATGGGTTCAGTTGGGATGATATACGAAAATTGATTGTTGCCCCTCCGCAGGTCTGGGATGCATATGTCAAGGTGGGGATAATGTTTTGGTTAATGTCTTTGTGTTTTTATATGCTTTTACTGTGGAAGTGATTTGAGGATAATGGATTTGCAGGGTCAACCAGATGCACAGGTTTATAGAAATAGAACTTTGATGAATTTCAATGACTTGTGCTTGATATATGCATATACACAAGCAGATGGAAGATACAGCAGGTCAAGTCATGATATTGACTTTGATGATGATGCTCAAGGGGTGAATTTTGGTGTGTTCTTGTTACTAATAAGGTTATTTGTTTTCATTGGCATTGATATGTGTACTACTAGTAATGAACAAGCGTGTGGCGAGTAAAAGTCAATATACAATGCCATTGTAATAATGTTTCATATGAGTTGATTGAGAACCTTTTTAGCATGTCAAATGTATTTGCTATTAGATGGAAACTTGTTTCTTTTAAGGAAAAGAAAAGAAAACTTTTTCACTAACTACTATCTCTAATCTAGGTGTTGGAACTACCATTCCTCCAGCAAGTGATGAGCGCCCGAAAATAGAATGCACACAGGCCATGGACCAATATTTCATTGAGCTTATGCTGGGCCATCTTAGAAACGGCAATAAAAGCAAGAACACATTCAACAAACAAGCATGGAATGATATGCTTGGTTCATTTAATGCCAAGTTTGGTTTTCTGTATGGAAAAAGTTTTTTAAGGCGTAGATATAGGAAACTGTTGAAGCACTATAGTGATGTTCAGGGTCTACTTCTACAAAAAGGGTTTTCGTGGGATGAAAAACAACAAATGGTAGTTGCTGATGATCTTGTTTGGGATAACTATAACAAGGTATATCTCTATATCCATTTAACATGGAAATTCACTTAAAAAGTATGTTGTAATCTCCTATGTTATGTTATAGGCACATCCAGATGCTCGTATCTACAGAAACAAGAAGATGCTGAACTACCAAGACTTGAGGTTGATTTATGGAAATGCAAGCGACAATGGAGTTTCAAGTCATATGTGCCAAGGAAGAAACACCGGGCCTAAAATATTACCAGTGTGGACTGGTGAGCTTCGTTTCTGTGTAAGCAAACATGCCAATTTTTGTTCTGAAGGCTAGAATGGGGGATTCTATCATGGCATCTGATTGTTTGTCAAAGTTTGTGACACTGAAACTTGACTAGAAAAGTGGATAAGCTAGACTAATTATAATCTCAGCCTTTTAGTGTTTGATATATTTCACTGGTTGATGTGGATCTCTGGTTTTCTTATTACATTTGTTTATCTGACAGCAGGTTGTAGGAAAATTTGTGGGATTAGATTATTTCTTGTTAATAAATATATTTTGTGGGGGCCTATGAGATCACAAAGATTTGAAGACCAATGTGTACTAGGAATATAACTTTAGGTACTTATGGAAGATGTTAGTAAATTGTTGTGTCTATGGTGATAAATAAAATCGCCTACTTCTGGCATACTTTCCACTTGAAACCTGGGATATTTCATGATTGGTTTTACTACTCTTGTAGGTGAACAAAACAAAGACCATCTCTGTGATAGACGTGAGATGCTGAGTATACATTGGACACCTACAATGAATTGTTATTTTATTGACTTGTTGCTTAACCAAGCACTTGGTGGGAATAAAATTAATCTCATGTTCATACCTGAGGCGTGGACTCAAATGGTTGCAATGTTCAATGTAAAATTTGGATGTCAATATGATGAAGATGCTTTGAAGTCTCAAGCCAGACATTTGAGGAGGCAATATAATAACACAAAGATACTACTTGAACAGAATGGGTTCTCATGGGATGACACTCGAGAAATGGTCATTGCTGAGGATTATATTTGGGATGCTTACATAAAGGTGAATTTCCATATGTCTCTAATGTTCTGATTAAATTGTGTCATGCATTTTTTTAAGCTTACATGTAATATATGCAGGCACATCCCTACATTCAATCATACAGAAACAAATCAGTGCCTGACTATCATAAGCTATGTGTTATATTTGGCCAAGAAAGTTCTAACGGAAGGTGTAGTATGGCCAAAAGCGTGTATCTTGAAAATGAAGACCCAGATTTGATGATTGGTATGCATTTCTTTTTCCAGACATGAATGTTATAATAAGATTTTTGTCCTGGGTGTTGCTGAGGGTATTTTCTCATGTCATAACATTGTAGGAGAGGACACCCAATTCCATGCTAGTAATGGTTGTTCAAGGATAGATTGGACTCCCTCAATGGATCGGCATCTTATTGACCTTTTGTTAGAGCAAGTGCATAGAGGCAATAGGATCAATGGCGTTTTTAATACTGAACTATGGATGGATATGGCTCTGTCATTTATGGAAACTTTTGGATTACAACCTGATGAGGAATTTTTGAGGAATCATCATGATACTTTAGGGAAACAATATTATATTATGAGGACTCTCCTTGATCAGAGAGTGTTTTCTTGGGATGAAGCACGTCAGATGGTTATAGCCCGTGATGATGTTTGGGATACTTATATCAAGGTGCTTTGATTGTTTGTTTTGTTCTTTCTTGTCGAGTTTTTCCTTTTGAAAGAAGCTAACATATGGTAAATGTAGGAATACCCAGATATAGAGTCATTCAGAAACATATCTAAGCCAAATTATAACGATTTGTGCTTGATCTACGGAAATTCAACTGATGGGAAGGACTGGCGATCAGGTCGAGATGCTAGCTGCAATGGTTATGGTGAGATTTTCTGTTGCTAAGCTTATGTGCATTTTTGCATTAGTTTCTATAAGTTGTGTTGTTCCTATTATATAAAAGTCAGGAATATTGTTTTGCAGCATTTACTATATCCTGTACCTGTTGATTTATCTATTAGTTTTAGCAACTCTGAGAAACATTACATTTTCATTCAACATATACTTTGTTTTAATTGTTCAAGGAACCAAACTTAAAAATGGCTACTGCGGGAGAACTGATTGGATACCATCAATGGATCGATATTTCATTGATCTAATGCTAGAGCAAGTTCGTCAAGGGAGTATGGTTGATCAAAAATTTAACAAGCTAGCCTGGGGTGATATGGTTGCAAAATTTAGTGCAGAATTTGGGCATCAGTGTGACAAAGATGTCCTAAAAAGTCGTTTTATGAACTTGAGGAAACGATTCAATGATATGAAAAATCTACTTGACCATGATGGATTTGCTTGGGATGATATGCGACAGATGATAATCGCTGATGATAATCTCTGGGCTACCTATTTAAAGGTGCTTTATGACCAAATTTTCTTCTGCACAAAATTTTGATGTTCCTATTAGCTTAAACATGGTTTTTGCAGGAGCACCCTGATGCACTATCATACCGCAACAGAACTCTTCCTAGTTATAATGATTTGTTCTTGATATATGGAAATGCAAGTATAAATGGGTGGCATTTGGAGACACAAAATTATGCCGGTGAATCTCTCTCCCTCCCCCTTCCTCTGTATATAGTGTGTGTGTGTGTATAAGGTCATTGGCTATGCATGGACAAATTTATCACGGTGTACTAAAAGTAGATTTTTCACTTTGTATTTTTGTAGGTGAAGAGGAGGATGAATCCCCTACTAGTAGCAGTCCAACAAGGATACATGGTACCGGTAGCGTGGGTATAATATCTCATGATATGGGGTTAAATGATATCTTCGCGGATCTGCAATCTGTGGCTGCAGAGTTTGAACTACCCGATCAAAGGAAAAGGCGGAAAGCTGATGCTTCATCGATATCAGCATCAAGAAAAGCCCGAAGACCCAATCAAGAAATACTACATGCGTTTGATGAGAGGCCGATTATGGTCAAAACCAGTTTTAACAATGAAGACCAGTATCATAGCTCAATTGAAAGCATAGTTGATGCTCTTCAAGCAATCCCAGGCATGGATGATGTGCTCTTCTTAGATGCTAGCAAACTTCTTGAAGACGAGAAAAATGCCCAGAAGTTCGTCGCAATGGATGTCAATCAACGGAGGAGGTGGTTATTAAGAAAGCTTCGCCAGTAGGATCTGTTTAGCATTTTTGGCATGCAAAATTTGTTTCACTTTCACCTCAACTGTATAATCCTCATGTAAATTAATCCTTCTTAGGGCCCCAATCAGTTCATTGTTCAGCAGACATCATTCTACACAGATGGAGATTTGTAAAAGTTCTATGTAAGTTTCTGATGAGTGATGTAGCATCTGATTTTATTCAATTCATATTGACCAAGATGTTAGAATTTCCTTTTCCCCTCTGTTTTCCACTTAATCTTCATCCTCTCGGATAACAGTTGCATCATTGGCAGGCAACAACACTTATTTCCCCCTTTGGTCAGAAACCTTTGAAGAACATGAAAACGATACCTTCACTCATTTCTACTTAAAGAAAGATGTGAATAAGGGTGGCCGGTAATCAAATCAATGTCCGGCCTATTGAAAAAAGGAAAGCATGGCATGGGTCGGTACCACACCTTCTTATTCGTCTGATCTGGGCCTTTTTTTTCATTAAAAAAAGAGCATATTTCTTAATATATTTTTAAGGAATCAGCTTGCCGGAACGCGTTTAAGACACTGAAAAGGATGCTGTCTGTAAGTATGTGAGTCTACTCTCTGTGAAAGGTCCATGAACAATCAAAACAGCCCTAAATAACAAGGATCCAAGGATCATTTACACACAAAGCAGCACCAGCATCTCCTACTGAAAACCTGGAAATCTCCTCCACAATCCAACCCAGGTTTCAGATTCCTGCAAGATCTAATGCACTGCCAGGCCATCGAATTCCCATCAATCATCCAAAAGTAAGTTTGAAACTTTCAACACATAGGGAGTCTCAAAATACCCAAAGTTGCAGTCTTTTCGATCTTAATGGCATGGCCTTCTCTTTTCCATCCTTGCTCAAATCCACCCTTCTTTCCTTCAATCTCCTTTCCGCTCTCCTCTTCTTCTTCTTCCTCCAAGCCCCACCGAAACCCCCATTAATCCACCAAAGATCACTCCTTTCAACTTCCTGTAATTCCCAACACTCCTCTGACAATGCCCTCATTAACTACTTTTCCCTCCATTACTGTCTTTTCAATGAAAACCTTTTCCTCTCAATTCCTTTCCTCTGCCTTTTCCTTCTCCTCCATTTTTACATTCTCATCAAAACAGCCCAATCCCATTTCTCCATTGTCACCACAAAGCTCTCTTCTCTTCTCAACTTGTCCCCTTCCATGGCTGCTGTCACTCTCTTAGCGCTTGGAAACGGTGCCCCCGACGTCTTTGCCTCCCTCCATGCAGTCCGCACAGGTCATTACAGAACAGGGTTTGGAGCCATTTTGTCAGCTGGGACTTTTGTCTCTGCCTTTGTTGTTGGTTTTGTTGCTATCTATGCAGCACCTTTTGGGGTAAATCCTGCTCCTTTCATAAGAGATGTGATGTTTTATTTGGTTGGGGCATTGTTTTTGTTCTATGTGTATTTGAGTGGCGAGATTTTTGTGTGGCAAGCTGTTGGGTTTGTTGGGTTTTACATCTTTTTTGTGGGGTTTGTGTTTTGGATGGATTTTGGGATTGAGAGAGAGGAGGAGGAGAAGCAGGTTTTGGAGAAGGAGATGCTGACAGAAGATTGCCAATTGCTGGATAAAGATTGTGAGATCGGAGAACTTGAGAGGAGTGTGAAGGGAGAGAAGGGGACTTTTGGAATTGCAGGAGTGCTTGAAATGGTAAGTTTCTAATATTCTAAACTTTTTATGTTGTTGTTAATTTGTGTTGGATCTGAATATCATTACTTGATTGATTGGTGTTCGAAAAAGGATGTAGAAAAATGAGATTCGGTTTCTAAAAAACCTAAGCAAAAACATGGAAGTAGGCTTATCACATACTCTCCAATGCTAGGGAGCTAGAAAAAGGATAGGTTCCATGAATTTTCTCGAATTGGGATCGTACTTGCCTGGTTTTCTGTTCAGCTCAATTATGCTTTTGCTCATAGGCATAAAGTTGGGCCAGCTATCTTCCCTAATATTTGTATTTTGTCTTCTATGCAGATCTCAAAAGCATGGGAGGTTCCTATCTCATTTCTTCTAAAGCTCACAATTCCACAAACATCGCCTTCTGAATGGAATAGGTTCTACCTATCTGCCAATATTGCTCTTTGCCCTCTAGCTCTCTTATATGCTTGCAACTCATTCGTGCCATTAGATCACCCCATAGTGTTCCTCCTGCCAAACACCCATTTCCCACTCTGGTTTGTTGTACTCTTTGCAAGCTTGTCTCTTGCGCTCCTTCACTTTATATTGGAAACAGAACCTCCAAAGAGTGAGCAAATCCCTGTTGTGGTTGTGGCCTTTGTAATGAGCGTGTTCTGGATATCCACTGTTGCTGGGGAATTGCTGAACTGCTTGGCAGCTCTTGGATCACTTCTTAAATTGCCTCCAGCACTCCTTGGACTCACAGTACTCGCATGGGGAAACTCTGTGGGAGATCTTGTGGCTGATGTTGCAGTTGCCAAAGCAGGCCATCCGGCAATGGCCATGGCTGGGTGCTTTGCCGGACCGATGTTTAATATGCTTGTTGGGCTTGGAACGGCTTTAGTAATGCAAACAGCTAATGTTTATCCAAAAGCCTATCAGCTTCATTTTCACATCGGTATTATTATTGCATTTGTCTTCTTGCTTTTGAGCCTGATGGGATCTCTATTGGTTATAACTTGGTCTAGATTCCGAGTGCCTAGATTTTGGGGATTCTGCCTTGTTGGCCTTTATATCATTTTCACACTAGTTAGCTTGATCATTGCTAAGTTTTCTGGGTGATTGGTCTGATCCATTAGCTAAAGACATTCAATTCATTTATGCTGATGGATGGAGATTCGAGAACGTCAAATTGTCTCAGCATTGCAAGGTTCCAGAGTAGTATATGTTCAATTGTGCCAGAGAAGGATGAATAAAAGGAATTGTGGGGGTTTTTGTCTGCAATTTCTAGATAGATAACTTGTATCTTGGGGGGGTAAAATGTATTTTTCATCTGGCCTTTCTTAGATTCTCCACTAGTATAATGATTTTATTGTTTATAGCAAATTAGAATATCATATACAAAGCATTTGCTAGATGATTGAATGCAATGCTTGAAAGCCAAACTCTCCCAATTTTATGAATGCTTAAACTTAGTTCTGACAGCTACATATGTATCATTAAATTGCCACCATTCTTAGAGAACAGTGCATGCCAGATGTATCCGCAGCTAGTTGGTGTTCTACATGTGTCACTGTGCTTCAGAGAAAGAAGTATTCAATCTCATGCAGGAAGGGAAATTCTGAGAAACTTATGATCGTGAATGTTGCTTAACTCATCTAATTAGCTTTTTGGAAAGGAGATACGGAACTCAAACACAGACACAGTACACAAGTTTTGCTGCCATGAATGAAAACCTTTGAGAAGCAGGTTTATGCAGTTACTGCTTGCTATTAAAATTGGATAAATCCAGTCTTAATCTTGGAACATTGCTAGGTGTTCGAAGCTTTAATTGCTGGATCATTCCTGTTGAATAGAGGCACCAGCCTGAGTAGGGATATTTCCATGTGTCAGAACCATTAACCACTTTGAAGTTGCAGATAAAGTTACTTTAAAAACCTGATTTCAACATGACATGAACTTATTTAACTCAGAAATGACAGAATTACTCATATTTATGACCTATAATTACAAGGCAAGTCATCACTTTTCGGAACTTGAACCCAAACTGAAGTTCATTCTATTTTGAAGCAGGCAAACACACCCCAAGAGCACTCCAAAACGAAACCAAAACTTACATCAGAAGGTAATTTTCGATTAAAAAGGGTAATTTCGTCACAAAACCCAAAAAGGCAGAAAGAAGGGGAAGAGCATATAAAAAGTAATTTCTGACATCAGAGGTCAAAACCGAACAGAAACACACATCAACACCAACAGGAACACAAACAACTTCAGCTTTTGTTGTTTCCAATCTCAGGTCAGTTTGTACGAGAAAATAGCAAAAAAAAAGAAAACATTAATCATTACCAAAAAACCAAAAAAAAAAAAGGGAAACTTTTTTCCTCAACGTTCATTCTTTCTCTCTCCAAACCCTAAAATTTTCCAACATTGGATCTTTCTCACCGTACGGAAGGAATTCTCTTAAAAGGACTTTTACCCAATTTTACCCTTTCTTGATCTTGGAAGCTTCTGATCTCTTTTGATAGCTTTTCTTTTTTCTTTGTCTCAGGTTCTTTCTCAAATCTTCTAATCAAGGTACAATTTCCCCCCCTAAAGGTATAAGCTTTTTGTATGCTTTCTTTTATACGTATAATATACAAGTACATACGTATCTGGGTTGGTTTAGGGGATGTTATTTGCATGATCTTCACATGGACATATCGGTCTTTGTTTGATTGAATAGGCTGCTGATCAGTTTCCATCTTTTTGGTTCTTTCTCTAGTGTTTGATTTTTTCATTTTTGGATGGAGAATTTTACTAGGTAAATCATGATCATATTCATGTTGTTCCAAGCCTAAAATGACACAAATTTATCAGGAATTGTCTTTTATTTAAATGGAAACAGCAGATTTTTTGTTTTATAGTCTTTATACTGTGTTGGTTGTCATGGTCCTCCTGGAATTGCTGGCAACTTCTGTGCTAAGCTTAAGCATCACTAATGGAGTACAATTTGCATTGTATCTAACAGATCTGAGTAGAAAACAATAATCCTGGAACTCCAATTTCCTACCTGATTGCTTTTCTTTTTTTGGCTTTCCTTGTAAAAGAGTTGATTTTATGTAGGGCTCTTAATCTGATTTGGATGTTAAAGCTTTAGAATGCAATAAAATGTAATGCCTAACTAAAGTTTCTGGCTTCATTTTCTGTTTTATTTGAAACAGAGACATTAAGTTTTAGTTCGCGCAGATTAGAATGGATCAGCAAGGGCATGGACAGCCCCCACCTATGGGGATGATTGGTAGTGGAGCTCAAGTGCCTTACGGCAGTAACCCGTATCAGAACCAAGTGGCTGGAGGCCCAAATCCAGGGTCAGTTGTAACATCAGTTGGAGCCAGTCAGCCAACAGGAGCTCAACTTGCGCAACACCAACTTGCTTATCAGCAAATCCACCACCAGCAGCAACAGCAACTTCAGCAACAACTCCAGGCATTTTGGGCAAATCAGTATCAAGAAATTGAGAAAGTTACTGATTTCAAGAACCATAGCCTTCCCTTAGCCAGGATCAAGAAGATCATGAAAGCTGATGAAGATGTGAGGATGATATCAGCTGAGGCCCCTGTCATCTTTGCCAGGGCATGTGAAATGTTCATCTTAGAATTGACATTGCGTTCATGGAATCACACAGAAGAGAACAAAAGGAGGACACTTCAGAAAAATGATATTGCAGCAGCAATTACCAGGACTGACATATTTGATTTCTTAGTTGACATAGTTCCAAGGGAGGATTTGAAAGATGAAGTTCTTGCATCAATTCCAAGAGGAACAATGCCTGTTGGGGGGCCTGCTGATGCGCTGTCTTACTACATGCCTGCCCAGCATGCACCTCAGGTTGGGACTCCAGGAATGATTATGGGGAAGCCCGTTATGGATCCTGCTATGTATGCCCAGCAGTCTCACCCATACATGGCGCAGCAGATGTGGCCATCAGGTCCTGAACAACAGCAGTCATCTTCTGATCATTAGTGGCTCTAGCATAGAAGGTAAGAAGGTAATTTGAAACTTAAATGTTAATCGAGAACTGGAACACTAGAAAGCGAAGGATAAATTGATATGTGGTAGAGAATTACTGTTGATATAATTGCTCTAGTTGCAGTTTTATGTCTGGTATTCTTATCTTCGCCTGCTTTCTCAATTGATTGCAGACTAGTTCCTAGAGACATCTTGAGAATGTTTACGGAGCAGAATAAGGAGCCTTCTCCTGGTCAAAAGCCTTGGTCAAGATTCTAGCTGAAGATCAGACTTTTGTATATACTATGCTGGGAAGAGTGACTGATCATATGATTGAACAATTTACTTTTCCTTTCTATGCACCTTTCTTCTTTTTCAATCTTGCTTTTCTATCTCGTTTGGAGTTGGAAATGATTACTTAGGGATGTAAAATTAGAAATATGTAGAAAATTTTATTATGAAGTACTATTTCCTTCTATAGCTGGTATCAAATAGTCATCTTCTATTCCTTTCACCGTATGGTGGCCCTGAACGGCCTTGGAAAATGTTTATGCTTCCACATACCCTTTGCAACGTGCAAAGGTCAGTTGAGCCGTTTGATGGAACTTCTCACTCATTTGCATGATGCAAGAAATCAAGTCCAGCTTAACTGTTTGTTGTTGAGAACCTTGTAGGAAATGACCTAGCCAATTGTCCTAACAAACAAAAGAATACTGTTTTGGCTTTGTTGCTGAGATATTCGTACTATATTTCTAACAATCTAACTCAATTCTAACACGTTGGATTTGTTGCTGAGATGTTCTTACCGTATTTCTGAAAGGTTTGGACCTGCTTCTATTGGAGTATACCAGTTGTAGATGCTCTTCTGATAGTTGGAACACTTGTATTCTTGTTAGTTGCGTGTAAAAGGAGGGTCTAATCTGTTTTAATTTTCAGTCTAGACCGATGATAACTACACCTCAAGGACAAGCAAAGAGAGGAAAATAGTGGAAGGAAGGTGGGGAAGGGGGTGTTCCACCTGATGTTTGAGTAGGGCCACCTCGAGGGAAAGACTGTTTCTGATCGAAGTAATAATCCAAAGACTGATGGATCATTCCAAACTAAATCCAAGTTCGTTTGCCTAAAAAAGCAAATAAAAACGTACTTCTTTGGTAGGTTTGGCAGGGAAATTCCAGACTGATGGGTAAAAAGCAGATAGGTTCTGCCACTCCTAGGCATCAGCAGTGTCCCTTACAGATACCCGAGCAAGGCTCAACATGACTAGTTTTTTTCTCTACATATACTGTGTATAGCTAGAAACAGAACCAGATTAGTCAAATCATCTCCAAGCTTTCTTCCAAAGAACCCTTCTGTTGTCCAGATCAGATTTCTTCCATCAAAATCTCAAAAGGGAGAATGGAAAAAAGCAAGGGATGGGGCTTGTCCTGAGTGAAACATCAGTTGGACAATACTCATGGTAATCTCCTCATGCTTGAGATGAGAGGTTGCAGACAAGGCATGCCATTAGATATGCCTCTTTTTCATCACAATTACTTCAAGAATCCCATCAGTGCCAAAATTTCCTGAAAACTGTTGAGGATCAACTGGCCCTGGCAACTGGAACGAGATTGAGAAATGCCCTGGTGGGCAAAGGCTCTGTGATAGCATTTCAAACATTCGGGAGAACCTGTACATTGTTTTCTCACCGGTTGTTGTCACCCCCCGTATTACTACCTTGCCATCATTTTCTACTTCACAGCTAAATTCATCTGCAGTACAAAGAGTTGCTACTTTTATCTAACAAAGATAATAAAGCAACAGAAAAAGGGAAATGATTGGCTGTGAGCTACCATATGAAGCATAATCCTGCAATGTTATAAAATACTTTTGAAGGTACCCTTAATTGATATTAAAGGACAAGGGAATATTAAGTGCTAGTCAAGAACATACTTTCATGTCTTTTCACCCCTGGAAGAGAGACACGGAACATGTAAGAGTCTTCACATTCACCAATGTCCATGAGTCAACTATAATTGGCCCCACCTGTCCCATGGCTGCACTGCCCGTCAATGCAGCTCCACTTTTGGCGGCAGCCGCAATATTAGCCAACTCTTCCTTAGTTGGGGGAGATGGGAAGAACAACATTGCTGCACCATCGTTCGTAGCACTGCAGTTTCATCTTTTGTTAGGACAGGAGCCTTAGATGTCATGGCTGCATCAGATAGATGATGTACTCTTTATAAGTGTGGGATCCGAAAATGTTGATCCGGTATCTGAAAATGTCTTGCAGTCGTCTTGTTTTTCTGGGAGCAAGAAAAGATCCAAGGTGAGACAAATCTCCGGTAGGTTCAGCCACCTGCACTGGCACATCATATAAATTCTCACTGTCAAGTGAACCATGCAACCTTGCAGCATCTCTATCCAAGGAAAAATCTCCTAGTCCAGTTAGCCTCGCAAACCTTGCAATGTCCTCTATCCTAGTGTAAGACATCTCAGGTTGTGAATGAATACAATGTTTTCAATGATACTATATCGATCTTTCAACCGAGAATGAGGATGCAATTCCAGAGGGAAAAAATCAGGAAACTGAGGATAGATAGCTGCAGGCTCATCACCAGGGGAGGGCGGCGGGGCGGGGGGGGGGGAGAGCAGGCTGACTTTAAAAGAACTGATCAAGCAATGGCGACTTCACCACTAAAGATTTATTAGCCTTGCGGAGTATATAATGGTATATCCGCTCAACTTGTACTCTTTCTATGTGTGAACCGGCTAGTTGGTCCGAAGAATACAGTGGAAGGCCCTCGGTTTTTCTCTGCAAAACTGACTTATGGCACTTTTGCTCTTTCAAATCTGGCCCAAACTAGGTACCTATGATGAAGTATAGGAGGAAGTGCTGGTCCTTATTTGGTATCAGTGCATTTGGTATCTTCTTGGGTCTTAACTCTGTAACGGCAAGAGAATCATTGGTCTGAGATGGGCTGGCCATAGCAGATGTACTCACTCCAAATAAAGTCCTGCAAGAAGAACAAATATCGCTTGGAAATCAAACATTAATTTCAGACAGAGTGAACCTTATGTAACAATCATAGATCATCTAACTCCCAGCTTTAGACAGTGATATAGAGAGCACCCATCAAACTTTTAATAATTATATGGTTAATTTATAGTAATACAAATTCTGAGTGAAAAGTAGTCCAAATGATAAAGAGGCAAGGCAAATCAAGTCAGTACCATAGTTTTCCAACTATGTATATAATCAAATAAATTGAAGAGATAAGCCAAAGGGAGAAAACAGGACAAGGCAAATTTAAATTTCAGGCAGAAACATAGGGAACTTCTCATGCATTGAATAAAGATGACTGATTTCAAACCATACATGCAATTTACTATATCAATTTGACCACCATTATCTAACAGATATAGCTTCTTGATCAAAAACTTTGATTGCTGTTTTACAGACAAAATTCCATGGAACAAAACAAGCCCAGCAGTTATTTCATATACAACATTTGCAACAAACTATTATGCAAAAAATATCTTTGGGTCCAACCCCACACAAAAAGTTTCAGAAAAAGAAAGAGAGACAAAGGATCACAGTTCCATTGACTGATACATGCAAACACATTACATTATACATTCTGCAATATTGCATTTGATCAGTAGAGACAGAACATGAAAAAATATCTTTGGGTCCAACCCCACACAAAAAGTTTCAGAAAAAGAAAGAAAAGCAAAAAATCACGGTTCCATTGACTGATACATGCAAACGCCTTACATTATACATTCTGCAATATTGCATTTGATCAGTAGAGATAGAATATGAGAAGCTGACCAACTGTCAGGCTGGAGCCAGTAAAGTTGAAAATGAGGTTATAGTTGTTTTTGCTCTTTTGAATTGAATTAAGGAGTGAGAAAATGCTGATATTGTCTAAAGCTGTGGCATCATGCACCACAGCACCAGACAGCCAGACCGGTGGGAACTGATATTGGTCAAATCCAGTTATTAACTTTTAATAAAAGAGTTACAAGTTTTAACTTGTCACAGGGGCTCTTTGGGAATTTGAAGTATATTTTCAGCAAAAACATTCAGGAATTTGTCTGGATTTCTATGCTTAACACCTTCCCCATGAATTTTCTACATTACACAAATGATAGAAAACAGCAACATTTTAATCAGTTAAGCCATATTTGGATATCTGCTGTGCCAAAAGACAAGGTAAGCACCTTTCCAAAAGAAAATACTAATGAATTTGTACCCCAGCTTTGGAAAATCAACTACAAATGGTAAGTATATCTGCATACAATAATGGTAGAAGTAATATCATCAAAAAGATTATAATAATCTTATTTATGAACAGTGAGAACTTTTAAAAATTAATTTTATGTGGAATGCTTGTATTAAAAAGAGAAAATATAAAAAACCCATTAAAATAAAAGAACAAAATGAAGGCAAGAGCACGGTGCTCCCACAGCACCCAATCATTTCCAACGCAGTCCCACTCCATCTGACCCTCCCTATTTTGGCAAAAGCCATTGGCCCAGAGAAGGAAAATTAAATGACTATGGATTCTTTCAGAATGGAAATCAGGATGAAAACTCACTGAAAAACTGTCAGCCTTGCTCACATCAGGCGACTCTTTCAATGGCTTCTCCAATGAGGTAAAGATACCCAGATGGTCATACTTCTCCTTTTACATATTCTCATGCGTGTTATGTATGTATGTAATGACGTATGTTCGTAATGTGCATTGTGGTAAGCTGAAAAGTTACAGCCTTGAATTCCCAATTTTGGAAATTTTCTAATGTATAAGTTTATGCTATATTCTTTCTGGGTTTGGATGTAATGTTGACCTTTACTCATGATGATGATGGATGATGAAGGATTGTTTGAGGTCTTTATGCGTCCTGTTGGGCTCGATACCATCTTGGTTTTTAATTTTTTCCGGCAAAGAATTAAACTTTCATTGTTAAAGTGTTTATCATCTGTTAGGTGCAGAAAGGAAGGGATTTTATTTTTAGGATTGCTGTATACAATCTTTTCAATGATAAGAAAAACAGAGGTAAAACAATGTGGTTGGAGATTGAATTAGGATAAAATGCTATCTTCCCCTTTGTTTGCTTTATTGAGGGGTTTGGATTCCATTGCCTACAGCCAATCCATGTTAAGGTTGTTCCTAGGGTTTATGGGGTAACTTTTTTCCTATTTTCGGAATTTAGATAACGGCTATTAGAGCTTTTCTCTGAAAATGATTATTCTCTTGTTCAGGAAAATTAAGGGCAATGTTTATTGACTTGTCCCTGCCAAATGGAAACCAGGCATCTTCCGCTCATTCCAAAAAGATTGAGACTTCTTTCTTTCCAACACTAAATCAGCCATGAAACCTGTTTCTGCATTACCTAGAACTCAAAATTCCCTGATAAGAAGAATGACTAAAACAACACGAAAAACCTAGTGTGTTTACACCTATCCACCAACCCAACTTTTTATTTGTGAGATCATAGTTGTATGGGTCATCACATGGATGCTAGGCAATGTGTTCAGAGTGGCATATGATAAATCTTTGGATTCATCAGAGAGTATAATTAAACTATCATAATCAATAAAGTAGGTAGTACTACACTTTGGACTCACATTTATCATCAATCCAACTGTGAAAGATTATGCAATAAATTTGATATATTAAATAAAATTTTGAAGTAATTGAAGAACAAAAGAAAGATTACAGAAAAGGATTTGCTTAGAAGTATATTTGTCTCTACAAGCAATGTATAGCAAATCAAAAGGAGGACATGCAGTCACAGAAACAGATCCAAAACAGGATATCCGAGGTAAAAGAACCAATATTACATATCATGATTGTCATGTGCTGCACAACATTAACTAGGATACAGATGGCCAAATCCGATACAAGTACGTAAAATGTTTTGGAAGCATTTCTGTTGGGGTTAGAGGGTTGAAGAGTCATGCCCTATGGATCTAAGGTGTCATGAAGTGTCTGACACAGTTATTTTTGGTTAAAGTGAAGTGTCTTCTTGTCATATAGGTTATGTGAGAATTAGGATTTAAGTCGAAGGACTTACAAAACCAGATGTTTCAATTTTTAAAATAAAAATTTATTATTATAAATCCCTATATTTGGAGCAAGTTTTGGAGATTCCATCAATAAAGGATGCCCACAAAATGTTATTGCTCTTAAATTTATTCAAGGATCATCCTTGTTGTGCCTGGGACTTGTCCTGATCTCTCTCTGAAATACATAGACACGCATCTGAGGCAATATCTTATGGACATGGATTACAATGCATAAGTGCATCTAATTTGGTTTAATCGTCTTTGAATTAGCACTAATGAATTGATATACCTAGGTCCAATACAACCAAATGGCATTCACTCTTGACCATGTTGTCTAAAGAAATATTCATAACTGCCGTCGTTTACTATTTTTTCTTTCTGGATTACTATCTGTCCTTTATCATTTCTCCCAAATTAAGCTTCTAATGCGTAATAGTCAGAGTTTTTAGAATGGGGGGTGTGAAGCATTGATTGTGTGGTTTGAAGAGTTCCTTATCTAATGGTAGCATAAGTAAGCTTTCCAAAACAAAGCTGACAAATCGATTTCTTGAAAATCAGAAGTACGCACATGCTATGCGCGTGTTCTCCATGTACAAAATCCAGAGATGACTGGAGTTATCTCATTGTGGACATGTAATTTGCACTGATTAATAGATGTGTCTTGATCTAAAACTGACAAACTTGACTCTTATCATTCACCGTGTTTCATGTTTGTATAACATGCAAATTATGTGTGTATCTTCCTATTTTGATGAGAGCAACGATTCAGCTTTATTACTTGGAAGTTTCTTTATGCTATTAAGTAAGGAATCTGTTGGAAACATAAAAATTTGCAATAAAAGGAAAAAAATATGGAAGGCTGCGAAGGACGTATTAATAATTTAAAAGGGAAATAATAAATGCAGCAGCTGCAGTGTTGACTCGGATTACTCTGATGAACTTTATATAAGCCCCAGTTGTAAATTTGCGCCATTACCTACATCTTTTACAATTAAAATACACATTAGGGAAATCATACTTTCTTAGCAATGAATTCTCAGATTGTGAGTTGTGAAGAAGATGGGGATGATTTATCGGAAAGATTGAGATCCCTTAATCTCAATGATGGATTTCTAAGGTTTGAGCAAACCTACTTGAAACATGATGGTTTTTGGTTTCAATTATGTTGTTGGTGATTTGATGCATGCCAATGTCTAGTTGCATTAGTTCTCCATTTGTTCATGTTTGTAGTTCTGGAATTTTGTGTTATAGTTCTACGAATACTAAATTGTTCTTGTGGTGCTTAACTCTGAAATTAGCTACAATCTATGTTTTCTTAATGTTTGATTTTTATAACTGAGAAAAGATGAATTAAATAATTGGTATCTATGTATTTAAACTATGTGGTTTATTCGGTATGTGTTTCTCCCTGTTTTGTTTTCATAAGATTTCCTACCTGTTCTTCAAATGGATTATTAAACAAGCCAAGTTTTATTGCTGATGTGCAAATGTGACAGTCTGCATATCTTCTGGCAGGTTTGAGAGGACAAAAGGTGAAAATAATGAGCCTAATCGCATGAATCCCCAACAACCAGTTCTTGATGTGGCTCCTCTTAATTGTGTGCCATACATTGGTCCACCAAACCCAGGTGATATGTTTTCCTCACCAACCAAAGAGCAGACTAACGGTTCAGAAACAATTGGTCCAGCTATGATATTTCTGCCTTCCCAATCAACCAGGAAGGAGTTGGATAATATGATGGCTCATACC